CTGGTTATGTGAATACAATGGTCACTAGCGAGCTTCTTTTTTTGGGTCTAATGATAGGACTATGATAGTCTAGGACATAAAGGTGATAGAGTGGCTTCAGTGCTGCCATTGCTTAATGGGGCCTTTTATTTTTTGGGATTCTTTTTTTCCTGCAATACATTGTTCAACTCCTCCGGTCATGATGGCCAGTAGAATTTCCTGATGTGCACCACAGTGGAAGATGAAACGATGTAAGCGCTTTGCCTGCTAATGCATTGGGACCCTTGAGTGGCACAAAATAGCCATTGATGGTCATATATCTATGGTCGGAATATCCAACGCCTGTTGATGGCGCAATGTCCAGCTTGTATATTGATGATCGCCACGGGAACCACGCATACCCCTCTCCTGTACTCGTGGGCAACTGGTCCATGTCAACTGCCTTAGATCCACTCATATTGAGAGTGCGCTAAGCGATCAAGATGCCCCCCTTGCACGGACTGACTCCTCATGAAAAGCGGCTTGTGACTATGACGATCACCAGTAACAATAACAATGGCCGAGGAAGGACGTCTCAAATGGCACCAAATGACGAGCCGCTAGCCAATGCATGCAAAGATCCTTCGAAGAGAGTTTGCAACAGCCGTCTAGAGCTCCGCAACCCATCGCAACAGTTCTTCAAATGTAGAAAAAGTCAAAAACATTAGTTGGGTTCACGGGGCAGTTCAACCCCGTCCACAATGCGGCAGCGTATGACATAGAAGGGCTTCTTTCCGCCTTGTCACTGCAGCGCAGTGGTGATAATTGGCCAATTTTGGCTGGCAACAAAACTGCACTCGAGGCGTGGGTCATGAGCGGCAAGGAAAGCTGCTGAAAATGGCTTAGAATAGCAGCGACGTTTGGAAACGTCCAGCGCTATTGCGCTCAGGTCATGGCACATGTGGTGTGCAGAGCCAAGGGACTCAGGCAGCCAAGCCACATAGCTAGACTGCTGCGCGAGGCACAAAGAAACTATACAGAGTCACTATTACAACCGCCATACTGAACTCAACAATGCATCGTCCCCTCTGACATTGTTCATGCCCTCTGTTACTTATATTCCCCCAAGGCGTACGACATTTTTAACAATAACCCCTTTGTGGGAAAGTATCTTTTGGTTCCCTAGAATATTCCTGTCACACCCTTGTTTCACCACACTTCGATCTAGTAGACACCATTTCCCAGCCAGTAGCCATAGAATGCCCCGCGGGTCATAATTGCATCACACAGCCACGTGGCGCCTCCACGCGCCCCTCCGGTTCCCTCTCATCGTGCTCCTTGGCAGACCACCGAGGGGGCAGGGCCCCCTCCATCAAAAACAGGGGTCCCATTCACAAAGTACAGGCTGGCCAAATTGTGGCCAAAACAACATGTATTGCCGCACTTTCTTAAGCAAACACCTCTCGAAACATCTCTTAATAAAATAGGGATGGCGCAATTATGTAGACGATTGATGCTTTCAGCTCCTGATTTAGATAAACCTTCACTGCATTGATTTTCTGAATGTATGCACACACGATTGGCAATTTTGTTGTAGTCCCGCCCCACTATGCACCAGCCTGTTGAACAATGGTCAAACTAGTGAGGCTACTGTGGTTGCCGACACTCCCTTTCCCCACTATTGCACCTTGTGGGTCGCTCACTGATAAGTACCATTAGGATACTAATTTTTCTAGTGATTACCATTATTGGTGACCCGAACAATACTGATCAAGGAAATATGTGCATTGGAGTATATATGGAGGTTATAATGAGAATAATACTATACATTTAATTACTCACAGAGTTTTGGACAAGAGAATGTCGATGAATCATATTCACCCAAACTATTGACCACAATTATTCTGTTTCAGGCGGAAGTAGAATTGCTTTCAAATATTTCCTTTAGCAATCCTACTGTACATTTCATGCCAAACCACGGCAACGTGGCTTCATAATTTTATCAAACGCCAATTAGTGATTCTTGAAATTCGAGTTCTCATTCTCTCATCCACTTGGGAAATGTAGCACGATGTATGTATGTTGAACATCAATTAAAAAAAACTCATCGAAAAGAAGGTCCACAACAAGAAAGATATGATGGCCGAGGTAACCAACGCAGTTCTCCTCCCACCTCAACCCAACATCGCATTGCTGGTCGCAGGGTGCTTCATGACCCGACCCTGGCTCCCACCCGGGGCCACGAGCTACATGCAAATCCAATCTGCCACGCTCCTATACGTCCACCTGATGCCCGAACCTTCCCTTGCAAGGGAAATGTGCATGTCTTCTTTGAAGGCACAAGAATCATCGCCCAAACAACATTTTATACTTTGTAAACAATACGTACCATTGCCAAAAGGCCTTCTGAATTGAGCTTCTAATGAAGCAAACCTGAATCTTCCTGGATCGTATGGCATGCCATCCATGCAGCAGTGCATTGGGACCCCTAACAGCGCTCACTTCTTGCAATCTGCCCCTCGATTTCGCACCGTCCAACATCGTGCGGACACGTCTCCTCCACAAGATCATGCATCACAGCAAGTTTGTCGTGACTGCACTTCGTGTCAAAGGCAGCTAATGGCTTGGCGCAAGTGCATGCATAAGCACCTGATCATATACCACCCCTCCGCCATAAGAAGCGCATTGGAGATTATGAAAGAATGTGCGTACCCAAGCACACAGAAACGTGTTGGAGAGTCGGGGATGGTGCTGAACGAGGATCGGTTGGAGGGATGTCCGGAGGCCGACCTTCACCCCAAGCTTGTTAACTGCCTTGACGCAGAACTGTGCATCAGTTGTCTACCTCGGACTAGACAACTGACTAATTTTCAGGTCATCCATGGTGTCGAATTAGCCGGTTCAGCGCTTTGTCAGCCTACTTACGCCAGCTTGTCTGGACTTGCTCTGCGTCCCTTGATATGCCACTCTCCTGGATGCTGGCAAAGGGGCCTCCATGCTGTAATAAGGTCAGTTTAACTAATAGTTCCAATATGAGACAGGCTGTTTTGATGCTATCACGAACGCAATTGATTTGAAATAGCGGTGGGTCTTCTTGTCGTATGCGCAATGCGGCATCCTAACTACTAGTATGTGAGTGAACCTTGGCTGAGGAACAGATCAGCAACCAGATCGTAAGAGGCAAATCGAAGCATGGCGATCGGCAACGAACCGAGAAATCGAAAGTACGGTTGTAGCAGCAAGCGCCAAGTGCGCCCGAAGGGTGTTGGCTTCGGGAGGTCACCTGCTTGCTTTGCCAACGAGCGCTGTGCATGCAGCATATTTTCAGAACCTGAGGGAATCGGCTCCATCTCGAGCATCCAGTTGCTTTATTGCCTGCTCCGGGGGAACCAGTGGCGTGTGGGGGTGTGTTGGGTCAGATTGCATGGAGTATCGATACCAGAACATGGCGCACCCCCATCCCATGATGGTAGAGCTCTAAGCATGCCCACCGTCAATGCCCTTGATGGGGCCACTGCTGCTAGTTACACGCACTTGGAGAATTTGCAGTTGACACTCAAAGTCAAATATTCGAGCAGTGCGTCCGTTTGCCGCAGTGCTGGGCTGCGATTTTCCTGAATGTCATCCCACGGACGGGTGCCCGTAGATTCAGGAAAGGTCCCCCATCCTAAACGGACAGGCTCAGAGACACATTCCTGTCCCAGGTTTGGAGCGGTGCAGCTCATGGAGCACGCTGCACCTGTCCTCGGGGAATACGGCACATCTTGCTCACTTGCCACACCAACAGGAACGACGTGCTGCAAAAGACGGAAGTGGTGAAAGGCATCTCTGCATGTGGCTATGACTCCGACAAGATCGAGGACGTCTTCATAATGGCGGACAAGGACCGCAACGATTTGGTGACATTCGATGAGCTCAAGGGGATGCTGAAGGGCGTGTACATATGATGCTGTGCGCCGGCGACCACGGGCAGGCGTGGAGCAAGGGAAAGCCCGGGTGGGTCATGGCTGCCACATTAGGCACCCAGCACACCGAAATGCAGAGTACTGTGGTACCCCAAAGTGCAGGATACACGACTGTGTTGAAGAGGAGACGTAGATTCAGGCAGCGAGAAGAGCTGAATGGGATGTAATGCAAACACGGGGGATGGGCATGTTCTGCCCTTGGATGATGTTACGGCAGCATTGGATTCGGCCCATGACTTGAACTTCTTAATTGCCGTATACCCACTCCTCATCACCTCTTATGTTGTGGTGTATAGAAGGAATGGAACGCTACCATGGTAATAGAGAGGGGACGCAGCGGCCGGGGCCGCCTTGTGAGCACGACAGCAACGGTGGGCCCAGTTCAGCGCCTGACTGTGCTGACCCATCCAACATTGCCAAACCTGGCGCAGGGACTTCGCCTTGCCGCGTGCAATATGGTATTTAACAACATTCCACAGAACGTCGACAGCAGCAAGATTCCTGTCGACTACCAGTCGTTATCCCAGCGCATCTGCAGATGCACCGTATCTGCGTGGTTGCTGAGGCTGGGAGTCTTCCAGAGAACTTTGCACAGGTAGCGCCCTGAACACCCTTCGGAATTGTGATGCACAGCTGTTCTGGGTTTTCCGCCCGCACAACGATCGATACCCACATATATCGACGTCCAGTTTCTCAGTATTCCCACGTTAAATGTGCCCAGCTCGCATGGCCTCAAACGCCACACACCGTCGATAACAAATGTGTCGCACCACCCCACATGACAGGCGAGCCATCTGAGCAGTCAAAGCCTTGCATTAAGCTCAGGAAAGAACGCAAGATGGTGACCACGTCCAACTGTAAAAGTCAGCGCTCATTGAAGAATGAGGCGATGTCAAACTTCGCTGGGTGTAGGCCACATTCCCCAATGCGCCCATCCACGGCATCGATGACTCGCATTGGGTCCGTGTGCCCAATGGAAGCCCCTCCGAAAACTTCCATGGCACCAAAGTCGGACGCCTGACTTTTTGGATTGCCCCTGGACACAACCCTGCCAAATGCAGCAGGCAGGCTGATCATTCATCTAGCGCATTGGTGGAAACACTGACAGCAAGGAGACAATGGAAACCATGAAGCAGAAAACAGGACACAGGCCTGCAGCTGCTGAGCATACAAGGGGGTGACAAGACGACGCAGGCGAAGCCCGGCACCATCTGGAGGATGCTGTGTTTCTAAGCACAGGTGATACGAAATTTGTTGCGCAACCCACTCCCCGTTCACCCACTGGCCGCTGCCAGCTACACACAATTGCCACTGTTCAGACACGGCCACCTGCAAACATTCCAACAGGGGGCACAGCCAGCGTGGATGTTGCTGCGCCATTGTTCTCTAACGCCAGGGACTCTTTTGGTGGCAGAAGGTGTTCAGACTGTGGAAAGCGACTGCACGGAGATCACCACAGTTGGTAGTCTGGTACAGGTCGAAGCTGTTGTGGCTGTCTCTCACAGGTGCCAGGATGGCAGTGGAGGTATAATGTGAGCTGGTGGGATAGAAGATAGACAGGCAGTGATTCAGACGTTCGTCTACTCCATCCCCTGTGGCCTACTGTAGAATGTGAAGCCAGCAAAAAGACCATGTAACAGCAAACACGAACCAGTGCCTCCCAACAGCCTTTCGTACCAGTTGCCCCACATCGAATCAGTAGCATGTGCACTCCATGCTCTCCACAACTGGACAGTGTGCTGGAACAACCATTCCTTGATGCTAACGCCAGACTTCGACAAGGAACTGCCATTGCATCTGTCAAGCAAAGGTGGGCCTCGTTCCCTCCACAGTGCACAGCGTTTTGTTTCTCTGCATACTCTTCACAGCCGGGAATCCTGCCAATTCCTGAGTACATTCAACAAAGGCAATACCAAGAGAATCGCTGTTTACTGTCTGCCCAATACTGAGGAATGGGATCCTTCCTGTGTGGTCTCACCTGGCCATCACCTTGCCGACGTTTGTTTCCCACCATGACAGTCCCTCAACAGAACCTGTACAGCGGCCCAGGTGCATTCCCAGGATGGCCACATTGAATGTCCTCACTCCCATGTCATCGATCAAAGCACGCAAGACGGCATGCAGCCCCGCCTGAAAGGCTGGGCTCACCAGTGATGTGCCCCACAGAATGACCTCCATGTCCTTGACAGGAGTCAGGCTAGCATGCAGCGCACACCTGCAATACTGTGTGGATGTTTCAATGGGATGTACGGGCTGTGTTGGGCTGGGGTTTGTGCCAGCCCACACTGGACTGATGGGGTGCTGCCAATGCCCAGTTGGTACAACACAGAGTGTGGAGGCTTGCACAGGCGCCCGTGCACCCAAGTGTTGAGCCACAAGATTTGGCGCGTTCGACAAATGCAGGTAGACGATTCACATACACCCAAATGTATGCAGGTCTCTCTCTTGTGCTCCATCTTTCATTCTGCCATTTGGGCAGTGTTGAGCCCACCTGAGAATTCAGGTTGTTGGCACATTTGAGCCATGCTTGCCTATGATGGAGGCACAATGCTGGCTAAGGCATTGGTGCAGTTGATTCTGATGAATAACAACAACCAACCCACTTTTAGCACAACTTAGCTCAGCATTGAAACAACAAATGTCTCAAAACTCTGACTTGCTTGCGTGGTACCTACACACTTATCCATTAGGCATCTGTGCTGAGGTGCGAACAAAAGGTTACCAGAACTGGTAACAGAAATTGGGCTATGTTCAAATGCCATGCAACGGTTGATAAGGCAAGGAACTGTTAGCCTACTTTCAGCCTGCACCCAGGTTGGCTGCCACAAACTCACCTGCCTTCATCTTTCTCAACTACCCTCAGGAGGCCAGCGCCTCTGTGAGCTTGCAGCAGGTCACAGAAAAAGGAGACACTCTTGTTGGACAGTCCATCTATGCGACCATTCGATAGGGCACTCATGTGGGCGGCCTGCTGGAGTTTGCTGTATGCTGGCAGGGTGGCCTGTGCATGCACAACGCTGTTGTCACTTACAACTGTCCTCGACAACAACAATTGCATTGGCACCACATTGTGTCACGATCATCTTGGGTATGACTAGGCAATGCTTTTTGGATGCCAGCAGGGGACTAGGCCACTTGAGTGAGCCACATGTTTCATGGCACCATTTATCATGGTCTGGATTGCCGCAAGGGTCAGCAGGGAGCCAAGTGTTGATTGCCTAGCTCCCTGGGTTGGAACATTCGACTTTGTGGCATGGTCCATTATCATGTGTTTTGGCTTGCAAGGAATTAGATGCACACCTTGCTGAGCATGACTTGGGCATGCCCATGGAACTGGCTGGCTCCAGCCCGCGGCCCAGAATTCCACACCAGAAGGGGGTATACAGCATCAGGGTGTGCATCTGCTGCCTCACACAACCATGCACTTGATGCTGCCAGTAGGTCAGCCAGTTGCTCCTGGCTAAAGGCCAGCGGGTCATGGTGCTTGAAGAGCACCACTCCATGGCAGGGAGAGCAGTATTTAAACAAATTGGAGACTGCCACTGCATGCTGCCTCTCGATCCTGCAAAATTGTGGACACAATGAGTTCCAAAAATCTGTTCTGAAAATAATATTTCGAAAACTTAGAACTCGTGCAAATTTGTTGGCATACAGATTGTGAGGATAAGAAAAGGTGCATAAATAGTTAAGTGAGTGTGGTGGATCGGATACGGTGTTTAGTATGGCGACATGGAGAATTATGGGGGAAAAATATGAACTAAACATGCTTGCAGTGAATGCTACATGACCGACAGAACCATTCTGTAATCCATCTGGTTGCGGCTTGCTTCCCGTGCCTGGAGGCGACCGTGTGTGAGCGCGAGCGAGGAGCGCGAACAGCGAGAACACTCGATACAGATAATTCTGGTTTGCCCATGTGCAACGCACCTTATGCGTGTATGCCAGGGTTTGGTGCCAGCAATGCAAGAAATGTATTCCCTTCTGGTCCATAATATAAATGACTGTAGGAGAGACTTATGTCTTGTGGTCTGGGCACATATGAAGTCTTCTGCTTTGTCATGAAATGGTCTGGGCTGCTTGAGCAATGAGGAATATGACTGTGGCAACTTTTGCACGCAGGACTATATGTTTCTTGCTTTTGTGTTGCTATACCACTGGTGGAAAGATATTCCACGGGCGTATTGGTTCTTGTGCATCACAGTTATGAAAACATTCTTGCGTGCAATCTTCACCGGGGGGGGGGATAAAAGGTTGACTCTGCTCATTCACTGTGAAAACGTTGGTAATCACAAGAGACATAGGCACCTACCTGCCAAAGGTGTCCACAGCTGTGTATGTGCCCCATTCACAGAAGTCACACACTTTAACGCCCTCTTTTGCGGGGCCCCTTGGCTCCTCAGGAAGCCTGAATGTCTGAGGTTTGGACCCTCGAACGGCATTGAACCAAGTCTGTTCAAAGGTGTATCGATTGGTCACAGACACAACAACCTGTTTGTCGAGGCTGTGCAGCCCAGTACCTGCAGGTAGACAATAACAGGGAGATATCATGGAGAGAGGAAGATACGTGTATGAGCTGATACGATGCAATGAAAGGCAGTTGGGCGGAAACTGAACCAGCCATTGAGGATAGCTGCCAGCTGAATTCCGGGGGCCAAAATCAGCGACATCCTTCACTCCAGGGCTTGATCCAATGTTGACTAGTGATGCACCACATGGCAGCAACTGGCTAGGCAGAATTCATACAGCAATACCCCAAGTGCATCTGATTTGATGGAATGGCATTGGGCGACACCTTGGAGGCTGCCAAACCATTGGTACACACAGTGCTTCTGCGATAGCATCCGTGGCAAATGCCCCAAGCTTGAGAAAGTGATCAACAAGTTTCGTCGGATTCATCACAAACATACCAAACGTCCTACTGCTACAAACCTACCCGGCCCTTCATTGCACGCAAAATGCACCACTGTCCGCCTAGACTTTTATGATTTGTTGTCCATTATTTATCTTATCTGTTCCCTTTTCCAGAAAGAAAGCCTTTTAATTTTATCATTTTCCATCGGACGAAGCGATTTTTATTATTTGTGATTTCTATGTTGGGAGCCTTAGGAGCTGGAGAGAGCTTGATCCACGAGCCAGCGACCGATGGGAGCCGTTTCTTCTTTGATGCGCAGATCGTACATCCGCCTCAGCGCCTCTGAGTCCCGGCCCCTCGCCGGCGGGTCGCGAGCAAGATCGAAGATGCTGCCGGGTCCGGCGCCGGCCATGGCGGCCCACGGAGGCTGGAGCCGACAGCGCTGTTCGCAGAAATGGCCTCGCGCACTGCCGGGGGGCCGCGCAGCGGCGTGCGTGAAGACGGGGAGGGCCATGGTGGGCGCCGGGAGGTGGCGAGAGTTTGGCAAAAAGGTTGGTCCGAAAAGCAGCGGAAGGGCTGTCCAAAAAGCAGAGAAAGGGCGGCCAAAAGTGGCCGAAGTGCAGGGCAGGCACCTGAAATGCGTGGCACATTGTAGTCCCTTGCAGCGGTTGGCACGAGACTCCGTGGGGCCACCTTTCTTCATTCAATGAAGAAAAACTGTTCCAGCAACTGTTCCAGTTATCATGCTACGACAATTGGCATCTCACCGCTTTTCCCTGCTCTGTTCTTTTGGGCCACCGCTTGTATGCGGTCCAAACAGGTAGACATCAGCATTGCCGCGGCTGGGAGCAACCAACTTCTGGGGCTGTGCCAATGCCTGACAGCGCATGCAAGGTTCCAGGGGGCAGTTTGCCCAGAGGATGAAACTGAATCACTGGACTCCATTGCCGATGCATCAGAATGTTGAGCACAGGTATGCCCACATTCTGTATGCAGGCCTCTTCACCAGCTCTCAGATGCGATTTCATTTGCACCATGGATGTCAAAGAACGACAAAGCGTTTGCCGTCAACAAGATCGAAAGCATTGCGTAGCATCGGCTGTATTGTGATCATCGACAGCATCTACACATGCAGGAACACCACCCTCGTTGGTGGACACCCACAGCTCGTGCAAGGGTGAAACTGGAATTACAAGTACAATAAAGTACAACACATATAGGAAATTTGGGTAGTCAAAGAATGAACATGCTTCTTTGTGATGCAGCAGCCCTGCGGAGATCTCCCCTTTTCTGAATGAAGCTCTGGAACACTCCCCAAGGCAGCAAGGCCAATGCACATAAGTTGCTGTTGTGGAAATGTGTGAGGAAACAGCAATCACTCCCTATAGCATATAACCCTTCCACATCGCGATGTAACGTTTAGCCTGTTCATGTGGAGCAATGACAAAATCGCAATGGTAACAAGAAAAATGGAGCAGCCCCGGCTGCATTGTGGGGGTCTCTGGACTGCTTATGGCATCTAGTGGCCCCAGATGCAAGAGTCACTGTGGCAGAAAACCAGCGTTTGAGGCCATACGACAAGAGCGGAGTCGCCATTCCTGCTGTGACCATGATGCGCAGGCCCCAAACACTTGTCTGTCCACAAAATGCGGTGCAAGCATCATAACGCTGAGATATCGAAATGCTGAGAGGTTGAATATACAACGTATTCACTGGGAAAGGTTGGTGGGTGGCTTGATGTGGCGGCTCAAACACACAATGGCTAGCAAGTTATTGATATCACCTGTGCATTTTAGCAAACTTGGAATGAGCACAGTTGGTACATAGCACGCAGCACCAAGCATACATGCTTTGCCATCACTAGCTGCTCTCACCAATTGCAAGCAATAGAAAGTTTACAAAGAACCTCATACAGCCCATAGCCCAAGTGCTGTTTCTCCCAATTCTTCATTAACATATACCCAAGAATGGCACGTCGCCATGCAGATGAATGGGCAAAGCATCCTTTCTCTAGCAAAAGCACTGCGAACAATGAATTCCACCTGTATCTACCTGGCTAGCCTCCCCTCATTCGTAGGTCCGCCGGTGTGAAGAGTTGTGTTTTCTTGCATGATGGCCGCTCCTGGAATCAGCAGAGTAGCGCTGCGATGGTCTGCTATCCAGGCCTGAGCTCCTGTGCCCTCCAGAGCTCCCGCTGACCCAACCCTGTGGTGCTGAGTTCCACCTTCCCAGCGAATTTGACCTGTCCCTGTGGTAGGAGTCGCGAGAGGAGGGCAGGGAAGCATGATCGTTTTTGCTCCAGCTGGCCCGAGGATCTTGAGAGATTCTATCATAATACGATGGCCTCCTTCGGGGTTCATTGCCATAAGGCGATCTTGAGTCCTTTTCCCTGCAGACACACAACACAGGGCAAGGCCGGCACCATGCCCATTTGCTTGTCATCTCATTACATGGTGGCTCAGCACAAAGGAGTGTCATTCCAGCGTTCGACGAAACATCGCCATGACCGTTGCCCAGCACCACTTAGAAGAGCAGTGCCTTGCCCGATGAGGTAAATGCAATCAGGAAGAATGTTACTGATGTGACCAGATGGACTTGTCTAAATGGGAGAAGCGGATCTACAAAGACCACCACGAACCAGAGGTCATCAATAATCCTATCATCCCCCTTTCATCATGCAACACAATCGCCAGATATGTGTGTTGGCAGCTACTTTCATGATGGCAAAATGTATTGCTCCTGATATGTGGCTCTGACACGCACAGCCCCAACAAGTTTCAGCCCCTTGCAGGGGAAGCAGGCCCCAGGTTTGCGAGAATGGTAGCTGTCCAGATATTCACCCATGGACATGCAACCCAGTCCTCTTGCAGCCGGCTGGCACCCAAAATGGTGTGAATGAAGCTGGTGGCTTGTCCAGTAAATTGCAAAGCCACCACATCTCTCTGCGCAATACTGTGGGACCTCCTCTGAGCACCACCCATCCACTACACAGGGCTTGCGCATGGTGCCGATGGCATTGAATTGACAGCATCGGGCCCTAGAAGGGTTGAGAAAATGCCGGACAAGACAACTACCTATCGCAGAGCATATCTCAGGCTCCCCAAGCAAAGAGAGTTAATGCTTTATTTATTAATCACCACGCCTGTTTTGAACTGAGTCACTGGCACACTGTTCACTGTTGCATGTCCCCTCTGCGGCGCTGAGATTGCCAATCGCCATACAGTCGGCAACAAGAGAGTGGTGCCGCTGCAGGCCCTGTTCTATTTTCCTTGGCAGCCACAGTCCTGTGATGCATTCGCCTCCTCAAGTCACAAATCAGTTTCGTGGTGTTTTACAGCACATGGGCACTCGCACCCCTGACTTTCAACCATAACATTGCTTGGAACTAAGACAGACTGACCAATTGCGATCAACAGCCCTACCAGCTTCTATTATGTTTCTTTCTCCAACACTTTCACACTTATCGTTATACAGGCTACTCTGAGTACCATGCCAGGTTGTTAGGTGGGTTGCTATGTGCCGTGGAGTTCCTTGCTGCACTCGATAACTCAAGCATCACCTTTCGCAAGAACCTCACAAAAGCATTGGCTCTGGTTGGGGGTGTCCATAGCATGGTTTGTCTCCCCTCAACAGGGATCAACCACCCCCAAATGCAACTCACCACCTGCCCCTTCCTGAGAACCTGTCGGTGTCGTAGTCGTCTACCACAGCGTCCATGCCCTTGCCACTCCTTTCTGCACACAGCTTTGGCGTCTTTGTGCGCTGGCAGTCATCGCCAAGGTGGCCAGACTCCCCGCAGTTGTAGCAAGAAGGTTTCATCTTCTGCCCATGAGCACAGGCAAAGCAAAGCTGTCCAAGAATGACCACTGTGACATTCGCGGGAAAAAACGCACGAACAGTCTCTGTCCTCTTTTTTAGTTCTGTGCCAACGCTAACGATTTGTCAGTTACAAATGCAGTACTGAAAAGACAAGAAGGGTTGCACAAGCCAAACGAGAAGAAACCACTGGAGAGGCCAACATCAGGCCACTCACATTGTGCACAGGGTAGAGAAGAAGCACCTCTCAGAACTCTCAGATATCCTCGTGCTGTGGGAAACGAGCTTCTGATGCGTCTACTCGCCTTAGGGGCACTCAAGCAACACAGGTGGCCAAGCTGGAAGCAGACGTAGCACCGCTGGAGGGGCTTGTCTGCCCAATGGTAGTCTCTCTCACAGCCGCCTTCCGCCCTGCACATGCATGGAGCCATACATATCAGGGTGCAGGAATAATGTGATCGGCCAGCTGAGGGTGCCTGTTCGATTCCATAAAAGTGTCTTGAAAGATGAGAATGCGCACTCAATCCGTATTCCTACTATTTACGGAACTTGCTGTTGCATGTATTTTTCACCTCCACTTTTAGACTGAGGCATCATGTTCATTCAAAGGATGGCATATCTCATTCTAGTTTCCACTTTAATTGTCATATGACATAGCACACACCCTTCCACCAAACTGGTGTTGTTGGTCCCAAGAACAGGCGTTTGTTCATTCCAACCATATTTTGCTCTGGTCTACATCTGGTCAGCCCAAACTGCAGCTGGTTGGCCAGAGCCAGAGTATGGCACAGGTTTGCTCCACATTGTTTGGTTGTGTTCAGGTTCTGGAAAGTTGATGCATATTTTCTTCATTGCAACAACACAATCTTCAATTAAGATCAACCAAAACTGCTTCTCTTTTTTTCCTGCAATTGAGTAGGCGACAGGACTGAACATACAGAGCTGAAGACAGGGATCAGGATCTCAATGCTGGTATCACTTGGCTGTGGATCCCACAGACAAGGATTGCACTTGCAACTACATCTGCATAGAGACTGCAGAATAATGGAGCATCCTCCAAAGGTGTTGTACCGGCGGTGTTGACACAGGGCTAAAGCCACCCTGAGGCACACACACACGCGGTTTGCTGTGTTCAAATAATGCAGGCATTGTGATCTGTGCTCAATATTGAAGCGGGCTGTTGATGGAAATCCACATCTTAACTGGCTTTGCTAAATGAATCAGGTCTGGTGCTGACTGCGTTGCTCGCCCCATTCCACGCACCTGATCCAGTCCCCCTGGCCGC